TGTTCTCTATACTTAACTAAAAGAACAAAAGTAGCACTTACTTCTCTTCTAAATGCGTCATTCCCAATAACATCTCGAAATTCTCTGCATACCAAAGAGAGGGTTCGGTATGCAGTCTCCCCATCGCTGAGAATGACGTCCTTCAGTATTTTTGTAAGAATTTCTGGAGGTAGCTAAAGAGGGAACATAAGAATACTTGCAACTGTTCATTTTGCACATAGAAATGTTTACTTTCAATGTGTTAAAGGCTCATTTTATAAAATTCAGTATACACACACATCTTGGCATCCCATAGATGATTTTAACTGGACAATGTTAGTTTGACAAACCTGGTACAGTGTAGTTTCAACTTTGTGTCCTGCACATGGAAAGAGATTTAAGACAAATATAATTACAGTGAGAATAACTTATGTAACACCACAATGAGAACAAGTACATTCAGAAATTGTTCTGCATCTGAATTATTATATAAAGATTTTCAATACACATCACATACTATTTTATACTTTTTAAAAGTGCATGGCTTTTCAAAATCGCTTTTACCAGTGTCACTGAACTTCTCTAGGCATTGTCTTTTGGAGAGATGTGGAGCAGCTGTTTGTCTCTTATGTGTTCTTGTATTAAAACACCACAAATCAAAAAGGTTAATGTTGTTAAAGTTCAAACCAACATGGTAACAAGCATGAAAAAAATGAAACATACATTTCCAAAGAGAAGTTGTCTATCAGAAGAGCACACCACCATCTGATCATGGGCATGTCATCCTGAGAATGAAATAATGAACAAACTAAATGAAAAATAATGAACAATGGTATAAATAAGCATAAACACATGCACAATAATTTAAACAAAATAACAAAAAAATACTTACTTGTTCAAAATCAAACTGCAGCCCCAAAGCAATATACATGGTATACTGTCAGAGTATTCAAAGGGAAAGTTTCAAAGAAAATGTTAAAATTAATTCAGTATCTGAAATTGTTAAAATAATAACTATCAGTTGTCACTCTATGAACCTACCATCAAAATGAAGAGTCCACAGTCAGTGTCTCCCGTCTGTTTTGGGATTCTCTGTTAGATTTGGATGAGTACAACTTAATAAATACAGCTCATCATCCCAATTCAGTAAAATGAATGAAAGTTACAAAATACTTTACTTCAAATGAATCCATAGTTCTTTCAGTCCATTCATCATTATGAATGTACTTTACTATTTTCCTGTAAAGATGAAACCATTTACACATGATTATAAAACACATGGGTTTGTTAGAATATGCAACAAACAATTGCACCTGTTTTAGCTTTGACCTTAGGTGTCACTTTCCTATGTCTATCACTATGTAGACCATCTGACAAAACTTGTCTGCGAACTGAACAGAACATTGAAGTTCAACAGGGAACAGAAAAAGAAAAGAGATTACAGTTTAAAACAGAACCACTGTAATCTTTGAACACATGCTGAACACGTCATAAACCTGTATGTGTCAATGTACTGTCCAAATGCTCCTTTATCAACAGGGTCAAGAAAATATATTTCTCTCTCCTTTGGTTTCATAATCTGTAAAATGTACATATGCTGTTACACACACATACACTAAGACACACAAATTATTTCCAGAATATTGTACTAGCCCACACAATACATCATAGTATAGCCTGTAGCCTTGGTGAAAACCACTGAAAAATGTAAAAAAAAAACTATGTTCATGTATGCATTTAATACATTAAACATTAAACATGAACATTAAACTCTCCATGCTCTATAATGTAAAATACAGTTATTACAGAAACTTTGCTGAATGAATACAAAAAAAAGAATTTCTATTCCATTATGTACCCCAAAATGACAAATACAAATTCATCTAAGTCCTACTAATAATGACGCCTTACCAGATGCTCCCCACACTTGTTCAAAAACCTTGTTATAGGTGACTCTATTTGACATCTTCTCCCTAAGTCGGATGATCAGATCCATTTTGGAGCCTTTACAGTCCAATCGACACTGCCTACAAAGGTTTCTGACTTTTTCAACCTGAAAAAAGCATTGGATTAGATGTAATGGGAGAACAATATTAAAATTTTGTATTGAAAATACAGAGCAAGATTGCCCACTCTTGCACACCAGAATACAAATAAATCAAAACATACCGGGAGATTAAGAAGCTCATCAGCGAGCCTTTCTTCTGTTAGAGCTATATCATCATCAGTGACGTCTTGTGGCACATGAAGCTTGGCATATTCTGTATTGAGGACCATACAGTATTTGAACTCCTAGTATGT